CAATGTTCGCTCGTCCGAATTCTCTACGTTCAAATTAAAAAAAAAAAACTTTTTTTTTTAAATTTAATTTTAGTAAAATGCTTATCTATCTAGTAATACACGTCCAAGTACAACAATTACACTAACAAAATGTTGTATTATTGTAATAAAGTTATTTTTATTGCAAGTACAGTTTAGTATTAGTTTCAGAATTGCTCATAGTTTTAACTCAAGCAGTATGTGTGAGGTGCAATAAAATAGTTCTGAGATAATTTTGTTCTAAGATTCAAAAGGCGAAAAACAGATATAGCATAATTTTTCAAAGTATTTACCTCGCCATTTGGTTTGTTGGTTATGACATATAATTACAAAAAATCAAAATAATACACTTATCTGACCATAGCCATATAATACTAGACGTTGCATTTAGAACAAGACAACAGCACAGTGCATCCCTCTCTAGCGGCGGCCGGTCGCTGCACGTGTGTCACGGAACGGGTTTCGCTCCTCGGACGGTCCAAGATTTTATTAATTTGTGTTTCTTATACATATACATTTTGTATCCAACTCTTCGTGGCTTCTGCTAACCTGGTACTCGTTCCATCGATTCGCTTGATAACAAATTGCTTTTCTTTGTTCTGTCGGGCCCCTATAGGTTTTTTATTCTTTGAGTATTTGTCATTATTGTCTTCTAAAATACAATGTTGATTTTTCATTGTGCTATAGGTGGAACTTTATTATAGAGACAGACTACTTGAAAGAAATATGTAGGTGAACCAAAATGTTATCTATATATACATATAATTTCATGATCATATATATATATTATTCCGAAAGACATTAAGACGACATTTCAAAATGTTAAGAACACCTAAAGAAACCAAAGTCAAACCCATCCATTCATGGGACGAAACGTCGAGAGAGATAAGTTACCTTTACTTAGTCGAAAGAGGTAAATACTTTGATTTACCATTGTTACTACTTTATTTTTATTACTGCGTTATTTACCATTGTACAAACAGTTTCCTGTTTTATAAACCTTTTTTATTATTTATGTTTTTTATAATATTATATTTTTTTTATATGATATAAGTCAATTACACAATATTTTACGACTACCGGTGCCGTTTTCTTTGCTCGTCATCTTGGTCTCCATTCTTCACACCAGCCGTTCCGCGTGAAATTTATACCCTATATATTATTCTGATGTATATGCTATATTTTTATAAACTTTCATTAAAATCCATTCAGTAGTTTTTACGTGAAAGAGTAACATACAATGTATTTGTATCAATTGTCTAGTACCTATAATTTAAGCTTTAGCTAGCTTAACTTGGGACTAGATGGCGCTGTGTGAATTGTCCTGAGATTATTATTATTATTATTATCATACTCACAAACTTTCGCGTTTATAACATTAGTAAGACAGACAGGCAAACTTTAATATAAAATTTGTTGTTTACTTAGTAAAACTTAATTCAGTCAGCTCGTGACCTCGGCTAGTGTAACCTGGTCAAATCGTCAACCTTTATTTACCATAAAATTATTCATCTCAAAACCCGTTTAACTGAGTTTTTGCGTGAAAGAGTAACAAACATCCATCCATACTCACAAAATTTCACGTTTATAATATTAGTCATATTGGCAGGTAATTCGTTATTTAAAGACTTACTGACAAGAGACGGAACGGTCATCTAGGCGGCTCAATACCGACTACTGCCAATAATTTCTCTTGTCGAGCCTGTGGTAGGCCATGCCGCTCTCGTATCGGTTTATACAGCCACGAAAAGAGCTGTTCACAGGCCATCACATCATATATCGTCTCATGGGCCTATATAATTTAGTAATCCTAAAAACTTAATCAGTCATGATCACAGATCTGATCATGATGTGTAATGTAACCTAGTCGAAACCCCGATAGAGGCAAATACCTTTATTTACCATAAAATTACTCACATTAAAACCCGTTTAACTATATTAATAATGGTCCCTAAAACATTTCATCGGGTCCAAATTAAAATAAAAAGTGAACATATAAATTTATTGCGTACTTAAATGGTAGCTGTGTTGTAGGAACTTGGAATTTAATTAATTACGTATTGCTAAGTCTGATGTTGTTAATCTTGGTGACTAAATATTTCTCGGAAGGCTCCGCTACCAAACCAAATAACATCCTTCAAGTCTTCTCTTGAAAGCTAATCATAATATTTTTTTTATTTATAAGCCGATGTTCAAACACCTGGCGGTGCCCGCAGTCTAAGTCGTATTCATCAGGCAGGAGTTGGTTTTCAGGCGCTCCATAAGTCCTTCCGTGGGTTTGGAGTGCCAACAGCACTCGGCTCCTATCGTCCGGTGAAGCTGTAAGCGTCAGCTGCGGCCAACAGCATAAGAGTAGTCCCAGAAATTAAAAAAAATACTTTATTGCGTTAATATTGAAGGACATGACCTGTTTTAATTTATAATATTAATTCAATATATAATATATTATTGAATTTATACAATTTTTTTGTTTAATAATATATGTAAATAATAATAACCCTGGACAATTAACACAGCGCCCTCTAGTCTCAAGCTAAGCAGAGCTTGTGTTACAAGTACTAGATAACTGTATAAATTGTTAAATGTTTTTGCAAACACATACATAATGTAAATAGAAAACACGCAGACAGATAAGCAATCATACTCATGAATACAAATGTTTGCACCGTGCTAGAAATCGAACCCGAGACCATCGGAAACAAAACTGTATGCTGAACCACTAGACCAATGAGACAGGCGGATATTAAAAAAAAGGTAAGTTTAAACTTTTGCTAAAACTAAGTGACCCTGTAACCTACTGCCCACACAAGAACTATACGTAGGCGAAATGGTTAATAAACTGTGATTTATTACTATAGATTGTACTTTATCTGTGCTGAGACATCTTTAATTACCTTATTTTATAGTCGCATTGGGAGAGTCAAGTCCTAGTGATGTACTACTCTGATTTACGCTACAAAGCTAACAAGCTCAAATCTATACAACAAAAAAAATTCGAAATTCGAATTTTATCTCTAACTGATCCCCCGTTGTTGGAAACACCGATAACAAATAAAATAATTCGCTAAACATTGACACATTCGCCCCCTGCTATGCTGGGTCAAAATTTCCACTGATCGATCCTCCGCCTAATTCAAACGGAGATCAAATTACGACGGCCTGAGCCGGGTTTGAACCCCTATCGGTGCCCTCAGACTAAAGTCGTAACCGTCAGTCGGGAGTAGGCCTTCAGCCGCTTCAGCCGCAGCAGGTCCTTCCGCAGGTTTGGAGTGCCAACTGCAATCGTTCTCTATCGTCCGATGAAGCTGTAAAGGCCAGCTGCGGTCAACTGCATTATAGTAGTTAAAAATAAACAAAATTTGGGTATTTCAAACACTAATTTGCGAATACACTAAAACTAACAAATTCTTAATTTACGTTAAGTTTAATTTATTGTATTTCTTCATAAGTTAAATCCCACCCGAAGAGGCTTACAACCCCGCTAATCGAGGGTTGTTATCACCCGAATTTGTTGCCGTGGTTCGCCCCGAGGCCCCAACCTTCATCCTCCAGGAGGAACGAATGACCAGTGTCAGTTCAAACATATTACGACTCTCTGACTACCCAATCTAGAAGACGAGTTGCAAATTTCGTCGTTATTTTAAAAGCTTGAAACTTATTTTTGTTGTATATTGAAATTTAAAGTAAAAAAAAAGTCCTTAAGGGGGTAAATTAAATTAGGGTTTTGAAGTTAGAACGATGAAACTTTTTCTGTGGGTTTTTTGGGTTAAGTTATTACCTGTTTCATGCTAATCAAGATCGCCTTAAAAGAGGCCTATGTTCAGCTGTGGATGATGATGATCCAATGTCGCTATACCACGCGGACCTAGTCCGCGACTAGGTCCGCGTGGTAGGACGCACAGCTATACGGTACAGTTATAAATAAAGATTGAATGTAAGCGTGTCCCTATTAAACTGCTTGATTTGATGTTACAAACTATTTATAGATATCAAAATCTCTCCTGCATTAAAGTACTCGTGTGTAATTCTATTTTTATCAACTCTCTAAAGTTTCGACGTAAATTTTATATAGGACAATGTAAATTCTGTGAATTTCTATGTAATCTTAATTTCTAATTGGAATAGGAAACAAGATGAAGGCTTAGCTACTGATGATGGAATAACTACTAAACGTATTTTGAGGAATTTTAAAGCAATATAGCTTATACATTAGAATAAAACATCATCATCTGCTTCTTCCTTATCCTATTTGTTTGTAGTCGGCATAATATGTTTTTGTAATGGAAGATTCATCTCTGTTCGCAGTCATCTCGTTATTTACTCCCTTTCTTACCATATCAGAATAAAACATTGGCTATAATTTAAAAAATAGCTTCTTGTAAATACATACATAATATACATAGAAAATACTCATGAATACAAATGTTTGCACCGCGCGAGGAATCGAACACGCGACCATCGGAAGTAAAGCGGTGTGCTAAACCATTAGACCACCGAGGTCTCAAGTAAGTATGGATGGCTGTTTCTTACTCTTTCAAGCAATAACTATTGAACGGATTCTGATGAAACTTTACAGTAATATAGCTTATACATCAGAATAAAATTTAGGCTATAATTTAAAAAGATATTAAATTTGGGCGACATATAACCATGAATTTCAAGTAAGTGTGATGCAGACAAAGTTGCGTGGCTAAAGCTGTTTAATCATTTAGGACATTTCGTCCACTTATGTATTACAAATTTTTGTATTAATACTAGCTGTGTCTATTATTCTGATTTGTATAGCCATATTACTGTAAAATTTCATTAAAAATCCGTTCAGTAGTTTTTGCGTGAAAGAGTAACACACATCCATCCAGACTCACAAACTTTCGCTTATATAATATTAATAAGATTTTTCCCTACCTTCCGTATAGTTCAGTTTACGGATTCAAATGAGAAGAACTGGCACGAAACTCAACTGTATTCCTTTTTCTTTTCAGATCGCCCATACTCCGAATCGGACGTCGAAAGGCCAACAACCTCTATAGCTCACAGTAGGCGCTCAGCATCCTCACCTCCACTCACGCTGACCTTCGACACTGACCTGGAAGACGATGTATTCGTCTGTCCCAGAACCGACAACGGGAACGATCCATTCTCCACTACCAACTTGGAGATCTTCACGTACGGAAGCCCTAGGACTCCTGCCGGCCTCTTGTTGAGTCCGCGGCGAGATAGCAGATTTACGTTTTCTGTGTCGAGTGAGAAGCATTGGAGGGACAAGGGAGGAACGGACGTGGCTGACGGTGTGACATCTGATACAGATGAGGTAAGTGAAACAAGATTTTTTTATAGCACAGGGGACGCTATGCGGCTCACCTGATGGTAAGTGATCACCGCCGCGCATGAGCACCCGTAACACCAGGGCGTTGTCGGCCTTTTAAAAAGGAATAAGCACTTTTCTTGAACATTTTAATATCGTTATCGTTTCCGTTCGGAAATATCATTGCTGGAAGTTGATTCCACAATGTGGTTGTGCGTGGCAAAAAGTTTCTAGAAAACCGCACTGTGGAAGACCACCATTCATCCAGATGATCAGAATGTTATTTTAGTTTCTGGCGGGTGGTACGATGGTGAAACTTAGTTATATTGAGATTGTTAGTTTTATGTAAACATTGTGTTTATACTGGCAACTCCGTCATACTCGTGAATGGGTGCTACTTGTGCTACTCTTCTGGTTACTACAATGCAATGGCATATGCTGGTAGTCACTCTATTCTCCCTAATTTAAATTTAATAATGCTAGCGTAAATCGCTAGTGCAAATGGTTTACGCTGACGAGTCACCAGTGGAGGATGATAAGATGAGCATGAGGTCAGGTCAGTTACTCCAACGTGGTAAATTCACCATGAGTTTTCAGGGAATATCCATCATGGATTTCAACCTGACATGGTTTATTGCTACCAATGGGGTTATCCATATTACTAATAATCGCCTTTTTCCCCGTAACGTCTGAGTTCCACTTCTCAGTTTAAGATTGCAAGCAAGATATACAAAAATGTAGGAAGATATATAAACCTATTCTTTGAGACCATCTTAAAACAGATAACAACTTTGTTTCTAAAACTAGAATAATAGCATTACACTGATAAGAATTATTAAAACGCACATTCTATTTTAATAAAGAACTTTTTAAAGATTCTGCGAAGTACAAAATGTAAACAACAAACACACTTGTATAAAATAATCTATATAAATAAATGTAGGATTTGAAACTTGGCGGTATGAACGAATGGGAACGAATGAGTATGAATGAATGGAAACAGAGGAGCAAATGGATAGAAACGAAAGAGTGAATGGATGGAGAAAGGAATGAATGGAAAAAGAGGATGGGCATCGCTCTCTTCCTCGTAGACTGCCATATAGTTAGGTCGTTTCATGTATCATAGTAAATGTTTTTTTTTGTAATTTAAATAAAAGGAGTTCTATAAAATAATCATCCTGTTATTCGCGAATCCTCATTCCCACATAAATAAAATTGAAACGTTTCCTTTTCAGTAAATGCATATAAAAGAATATATTGTAATTACATAAAAAAAATGTAACGGCTGGATCGAGCGGCTTAAAAAAAACTAAATGATTTCCAACAGAAAGTTACATATTTTCTCTGTCTGTCTGTCTATCTGTTTGTTCAGGCTAATCTCTGAAATGGCTGGACCGATTTTGACGGGACTTTCTTTCGCAGATAGCTAATGTTATAAGGAGTAACTTGGGCTACTTTTATTTTAGAAATATATTTATTTTAAGTCCTCGTGAGCGAAGCCGCAGCTAACAGCTAGTAATGTAAATCTGTTATATAATTATGAAGGTTATACATTAAATTAATTAAATTGACACAAAAATAATAATTTTTTTCTGTCAGTTATAGAGAGTAACTTAGGCTACTTTTATTTTAGTATTTTTATTTAATTCCACGCGGACCCAGTAACAGATTTATTACGTTTTATAACAATACTAACTAGTATTGTAATAAGTCTGTAGTATAATATGAAAAGATGATGTAAATTAATTAAATTGACACGCAATACGCGTGAAATAATTAATTGATTGTGGTTTGCTTTGCGGTTGTAGGCCAACGTACCTTTGTGATTATATTGCAAAGTAAATAGGTATATTGTTATAATAAATTTTGCGATATTTATTAATAATTTACACACAATTAAAAAAAAAACAATATGGTTAACATATTGTTTTTTTTTATCACCTGAGTACACCTACCAAGGGATGGTATCAGTATGGGAGTGAATTACATATAGAAATAGAAATAATCTTTATTCAAATAAACTCGATATTAACACTTTTGAATAGTCATATTTTTTTTTCTACTACTCATTCGGAAAGCAAATTCATCACAAGAAGAATGAGCAAGAAACTTGTGTGTTGCTCTTTTGAATAGATGTTATTTAAAATAAATAGTTACACAATAACAAGTAAGAGGCATGCCGAATCAATATAGAAACCGCTACGCACTCACTAATAGTAGTGGTAAGGGGAACTAGTATCTGTGGTAAAAAAAAACACGACACATAGTTAGCAATTGGGTCACACACTAAATAACTTATTAGTGTCTTTTTTTTATAATCAGAACTAACTTGGAGGAAGGTGATGTTTAGTAATGTCGACTGATGACCCCATTGCTATTGACCTAAAGGCGGTTCCCCTTGGAAACCATCATGATAAATTCACGATGAATATGTCACGATGGCTAACTGACCTGACCTCATGCTCATCTTATCTATAGCAATTGTTACAATAAGTACAATATATTTTTTTTATTTTAATTATACAAACATTAAATCAATAAAAAAAACACTATGCATGTACTATGTATTTGAATACACACATATAAGTACAGTATTTGACAATATACTCTTAATAAAGTTGAAACTTACATATAATTAAAGTTTATTATGGTCGAATATCGACGATTCAGCGACCACTAGTTCAAATAAACTTACATTTTAGCACTTTTGAATAGTCATACTTTACTTTTGAATAGACATATTTTGAATTTACCGCTCATTCGAAATGGTATGCCATCACAAGAAGAACGAATTAGAAACTTGCATGTTGCTCTGTGTCATCAAGAAGAACGAGCGAGAAACTTGCGTCTTGCTCTGTGTCATCAAGAAGAACGAGCGAGAAACTTGCGTGTTGCTCTGTGTCATCAAGAAGAACGAGCGAGAAACTTGCGTGTTGCTCTGTGTCATCAAGAAGAACGAGCGAGAAACTTGCGTGTTGCTCTTTTAAATAACTGTTTAACCTAAATTTACATTAAAGTGAATACAAACTACCAACTGGCACTTCATTAGAGTCAAAATATATTTCATAACTAGCTGTACCCGCGATTTCGTGCGCGTGGAATTTAAGTTTATTTTTCTGAAATTAGAAAAGAAAAAAGCCTAATTTACTCCTTATGACATCAGCTACCTCCCAAAAAAGGTTCCATCAAAATTGAGATCTTCAGAATTCAGCTGGAACAAACAGACAGACAAAAATTGTAAAAAATGTCATTTTGGTGTATGTACCGTATTTATATTCATATGCATGTAGTTAAAAACGGTTATGTCAATATTACAAACGGACACTCCAATTTTATATATGTATATATATCCTTAAACTCCCCCATCTCTGAATATAGTCGTGAAGGTACTAATAACGAAGATATAAACAATTATAATTATACGCATATTTATATTAATGCATTTATCCACAGTTCGTCGGTCGGCAATGACTCACTATGTCCAACAAAGAGTTTCAAACACGTGCGTTTTAGAAAAACAATTCGTGTTTTTACTACGTTTTATGTAATAATGCGGTTAGTTTATCTCTGAAACGGCTTGATGATTATTTATACAATGATACTTAGTATTATATGTAATTTTATTATTATTTTTAGCTTTGATGTTAAAACATTTGGATTCAACTTTAAATTATCCGTAATATTATAGATGCAAAATTGTCTGGCTGTATTACGGTTAAATGACAAAACGGCTGGACGTATCTTTAAACTCGACTCAGAGGTCGAAATTCGATTATAATTATTTACAATTATTACAATAATAACAATAATCTCAGGACAATTCACACAGCGCCATCTAGATCAAAGTTAAACTAGCTAATGCTTGTGTTACGGGTACTAAATACCTGATTCAAATATATAGATATTTTTTTCCTAAATACGTAGATATTATATATAGAAAATACCCAGACCGATACAAACATGAATCGAACCCGCGACCATCGGAAGTAAGGCAGTGCAGTTAAACTGCTAGACCATTGAGGTCGTCAAGTTTGAACATTATGAAGGTTTTATCGTAAAAGCCTATAGCAAAAAATATTAAACTATTCTCAACTTGAATACAGACTTTAATAATAAACAGAAGAGTATGTATGCGTGTTTGTGTCAAATAGATGGTATGGTGTGTACTCTTTTTTTAATGGATTTAATTATTTATGCATAATTAAAAAAAAATGCATTCTGGACTTGTTCTCGATATAATCAATAAACGTGCGAAATTCTATACTCCGCCGTCCCCGCAGCGGTACAAAGTTTTTGCTTTATGTATTAATATAGAGAATAATAAACACAACTTTCAATGTATATTTTTGACTGTCTCTGCATATAATGTAAGAACAGATAACAGATCGGATTAATTAACTCTTTGCCGCATTGCATATTAATATGCTTAGCTTCTTTTTTCGTATAATAGTAATATAATCTACATATTATTAGACCAGAACTTACTGACTTCTATGGCACAATAGGTCGCCTTGTTAAGGTCTTCCTTCTTGCAGAATGAGCGCAAAGGACACGACAATAATGATGCTTAGCGAAATGTAATGTAGGCATGTCAAGTGTAGCATTCACCATGACATAGACTCGCCTTTAACACGGAATTTTCTTGTTAAATTGTAAATAAGTGATTTTATGCTGTCCTTGTTGCTTACTGAACGCCTACTTCGTAGAATTATACCGAATGTTTCAAACCCTCAAAATATTGCTATTGTAAAATATCAGGCGTTATCGTTCGTCTGAATTATAAATGTAAAGTTTAATTTTATTATCATACTATAATAAACTAAAGAATTTATTAATATTTTATATAATAAAATTGATTAATAAACATTATATATCCAATACGGTTCTACGTATAAAGATTAAATTACAAAATGCGTAACTCTTAGCGACATTGTTGTCAACAGTATCACAGATGTAAGTTTCTCTCATCTGTCATCCACTTTCGACGGATTTAGGTATTAATGATT